GCGCTAGCTTACTTCATTAGCTAATTAGACTAAGCTAACATTCACCCTCAGGTGCTTTGACCCAAACTTTGAAAGAAAAACTAAAAAAATACAGCAAAAGTAAATTATTGTTTTAATTATTTACTTACTTTAAGTCTACTTTGCTGAAATATTGACAGTGAAAACGAGTTTTAAGTTAGCTCAGCTAGTGGCGAAACCGAGTTGCTCCATCGGAAATGATCCGGTCCAGTTCAGAGGGGGTCTGAAAATCATAAACCCCTAAATGTTAAATGTTATTAAACATGTAAGAAAGAAACAATTTTTATTGGGGGGCCCTATCCATAACAACATTAATCACATCTTTGTTTATTCTTGTTTTTGGTAGTAAAAGTTATATGTTACCTCTCCCAGACCAAAAGGAAAACTACCATATTTACTGAACACCCCTCTGTATCTGTATAAAATGGTTTGTTCCAGCAGAAGGCGTTTAGCAGCATTCAGTAAAATCAGAGAATGACATAACCATGCTGTCTACAATAATAAAAAGATGATAAAAGAGGATATTAAAGTAATCCAGTTTGATGCTTTTGTTTATACTGAATTATATTATGGCCTTTAAATGGCATCTATATTTACAGGTTTTATTATTCCCATCATTATTTGAGAAATACTGTATTTTCTGAACCGTCATTAAACGCACCATGAGCATTAAGCTATGAGAGGAGACCTCCTGCTGAGCGGAGCGGCAGTGTGTTAGAAAACAGCTAAACAAAAGTAAAAATAACTTTTCTATTTGTTGCCAAACAAACCTTGAATGTTAATTAATGCTGTTGGAGGCAGGTAATGTTAGCTAAATGATCCAAATATACCATGTTTAGCTAGTTAAGATTAGACAGTTGTTACCTTTTCTTACATCCTTGCTAGTTAGTTAATGTTTTGGATAAACCTAATCTTTTATTTCTGTGCAGAATTTGTGCTGGCTTGCTTTCCACATGTTTAAAATAAATCTTTATTGCCATCATAGGAAGAGCAAAGTCAGGGAGGAGACATGCAGCAGCAGGGACGACATGATGCAGGCTTTTCTCAGGTAAGGACAGGTTGTAACTTTTATCACAGGGTGAAACCAGGCAGGTATCAGGACAGAGTTTAACTGATATTTCAGAATTACTCTTATTCGCACTCCAAGATATATATTTTTATTTATTGTTTCTACGTTGGTCCAAAATAAATTTAGAATAAAATCATTTTATTATTTAGTTAACAAAAAGATGATAATWATCTTAGTTCAAAAGCAAAAGTGACAACTACTGCATTATTTTTGTTCTTAATGGCAGCAGGTACAGATCAGGCTATTTTCTTTATTTTGATTAGTTTTGCACATCTGTGCGGGGACACATTTTACTAAAATGTGTTTAGTGCTGTGTCACTTTAAGTGTTTATGCTATTCAAATAAATTATGTGGCCTTTTACCCTATTACATTCTTGATTTTACTCCATTTTGTGAGCCAAGTAATTTTTTTTAGGAATGGTTTTTGCCATTTAGCACTGGCTACTTTTTGGCAGCTAAAATTTTACATTTTGTTAGTACACTTTTAAAGAATTAAAAGTAAATCACTTGGAGCTGTACTGCGGCTGTTAACTGTAATTAACTAACTTTTAGAATCAATATATTTCAAAATGACCACCACGCCTAAGATACAACATAAAAATACTGACAGTCAGTTTAGGCCAAAATTTGGTGTGGTAGTAGCAGAGAGTCATCCTGAAAACACGCTTTAAAAACAAGATGTAGCTATGGCAGCCATCCTATTATGGGGTGCCATTTGTAAAGTTACACAGTCATAAATTACCACCAATATTTTTGTTTTATTTAGCCTTTTATAAGAAAAAAAACAGATTTATTTTTTAAAGTCAGTTTTTCCACCATATGATTCATACACTTCTAAATGTCATAGTTTATAAACTAAAT